CGTGCTTCCCTAAGGACTTACCTTCCACTGCTTCATGAGAAGCGGCAATGGCCGCGACGTAGACCTTAAGGGTGGAGGGCGACAGCCTGCGCTCCAACCCTTCTTGCAGGAAGGAAAGCACGACACTGATCGAACATCTCCGGGGGTCTTCTCCGCGAGAAGAGCACCAATTGACGAAGAGGTTCCACTTCAACGCATAAAGGTGTCTCGTGGACGACGCTCTTGCGGAAGTGATGGTTGCCGCCACCGCAGGTGGCAGCGAACTCAAACCTGCCTCGTCCCGTCCAGGAGCCACACGTGCAGCCTCCAAAGATCGGGACGAGGGTGCCACAGAGTGCCCCGTCTCTGAGAGAGTAGGTCTTGTCTCAGAGGAATAGGCCAAGGAGGTGCTGCCGCGAGGAGCATGAGATCGGAGAACCACGTCTTGGTGGGCCAGTAGGGGGCTACCAGCAAGACCTGCTCCTCGTCCTCCTTGATCTTGCACAACACCCGTGCAAGGAGGCTCACTGGGGAAACGCATACTTGCGTGGGCCCCGTGGCCAGCTGTGCGCCAGCGCATCCGAACCGAGAGTGCCCCAGGTCAGAGAATAAAACTGGGCGCAGTGGGCTGAGTCCCGGGAGGCGAACAGATCTATCTGTGCCTCCCCGAACTCTTTCCAGATCAGCTGGACCGACTGGGGATGGAGTCGCCACTCGCCGGAGATAGGGCGGACCCGAGACAGCTCGTCGGCTGCCCAGTTCCGGTCTCCAGGAATGTGAACTGCACGAAGGGACCTCAGGTGCTTCTGACTCCATATCAAGAGGTGGCGGGCGAGCTGCGACAACCGGCGCGAGCGTAGACCCCCCTGGTGGTTGATGTACGCTACAGCCGTAGTGTTGTCTGAGCGGACAAGCACATGCTGGCCCTTGAGCAACGCTCTGAAGCGGTGCAGGGCGAGCCGTACTGCCAGCAGCTCGAGGCAATTGATGTGCATGAGGCGCTGGGCCCCCGTCCAGGAGCCGGCGGCTGCATGCCCATTGCACATGGCACCCCAACCCGTGGTAGATGCATCCGTGGAGACGATGAGATGCCTGGAAACTCGCTGAATAGGGACGCCCGTCCGTAAAAAGCTGAGGTTCGACCACGGGAAGAAGGTTCGCCGGCATGCCGGAGTCACTGGGACTCGGAGCGAGCCGCGATGCCATGCCCACCTCGGGACTCGATCGCGAAGCCACAGCTGAAGCGGTCTCATATGAAGCAAACCGAGCGGCGTTGCCGCGGCCGCGGATGCCATATGCCCCAGGAGCCTCTGAAAAAGTTTCAGTGGAACCGCACTCTTGCCCTCGAACTGACGAAGACAAGTCAGCAGTGAGTGCGCGCGCTCGTTCGTGAGCTGCGCGGACATGGCGACCGAGTCTATCTCCACGCCGAGAAAAGAGATCCTCTGCACGGGGCAAAGTTTGCTCTTCTCTCGGTTGACCCGAAGGCCCAAACGGGCTAGGTGCCGGAGCACCAAGTCTCTGTGTTCGCAAAGCTGAGCTCGAGAGTGTGCTAGTATCAGCCAGTCGTCGAGATAATTCAGGATGCGAACCCCGTGTTCGCGAAGGGGAACAAGGGCTGCCTCGACGATCTTCGTGAAGACGCGAGGGGACAGAGCTAACCCGAATGGGAGAACGGCGTACTGATATGCCTGGCCCTCGAAGGCAAACCGAAGAAACGGTCTGTGTCGAGGTAAGATGGACACATGGAAGTACCTCAGGTCGATCGCTGCAAACCAATCCTGATACCGAACACATTCGAAAATGCGTTTGGCCGTGAGCATTTTGAACGGTAGTCGATGGAGAGAACGATTCAAAATGCGCAGGTCCAGGATCGGTCGTAACCCACCGGTCTTCTTGGGGACAATGAAGTAGGGGCTGTAAAACCCGGACCTCACCTCGGCTGGAGGGACCGTCTCGATTGCGCCCTTCGCCAGCAGGGTCGCAATCTCCGCTCTCAGGACTGGGGCATTGCCACCGACTATCGTGGAGCGAACTCCCCTGAAGCGGGGAGGAGACCGTGCGAACTGAATCGCGTAGCCGAATCTGATCGTTCTGATGACCCAGCGCGGATACCCCGGGAAGCGCTAGCCAGGCTTCCAGGAAGTGAGCCAACGGGGTCATGTGAACCACAGACGTCCCCCGGAGGGGCAGCGTGGCGGGTCGACTGGCACGCGTGCAGGAGTTACCCCGCTCGGATGCGTCGAAGCCCGCTCCCCGACAGAAGGGACCAGGGAAAGCGGAGCGTTCCACGGGGGTCCGTTCTGCCGGGGGTCTGGCGAGAGAGGGGGAAGGGATTGGTGTAGCCCGGGGACGACACACGCACCCTTCCGCGCCCTCCGAGACAGAGAGGAGTGAGTGGGCCGACACACTGGGCATCGGGGGCACTCACTCCAGTCTGTGAGCTCAGTGAGGATGTCAAGTCTTTCTTTAACCAGTTCAGGGTGCTGCCACCCGTGGTGGTGAGCAGCGGGGAGCTGAGAACAAAAGATTCTCCCCCGGCCCTCCACGGGGGAAGGAGGGGGCCTGCTACCGCCTCCTGAGAAAGACTCGAGATCGACACTGAGCCGCCCGTGTCAGGATCTTCGCTTGGCCTGGCGTTTTGCGGGGCGAGCGGCCTGAGGGGGCTGTGACGCCGGCCTGCGGCCTCCTCGACGCCGGGCCCGGGTGAAGGCTGCTGCTGGGGCCGGGCGGGGGGAGGGGAGCCGCAGGGGGGGCGTCCGGCGGCGAGCAGGAGGAGGCACCTGTGCCGACGACTGGGTGGAGGCAGCAGCTGGTCGTCGGGGCAGGATGTGTTTGATGCCTCCGTCTGCATTCTGGGCAGTGGAGAACTGTTGGGCGAAGTCCTCGACCGCACCGCCGAAAAGGCCAACCTGGGATAGCGGAGCGTCGAGCAGACGAGTCCGCTCAGTGCTCCGCGTATCCGCCAGGTTGAGCCACAGATGACGCTCCTGAACCACGCTAGTGGCCATCACCTGACCAACGGCGCGAGCAGCCACTTTCGTTGCCCGGAGAGCAAGGTCAGTGGCGGACCGCAGTTCTTTGAATGCCGTCGGATCAGTCCCGCCCTCGTGCATGTCTCTGAGCAACTTCGCTTGAAGACCTGCAAAGTGGTCATAGCATGCAGAGCGGAGGCCGCCTGTCCCGCCGCTCTGTAGGATCGCGCCGCCATAGCAGACGAGAACCACAGGCTTTGGATGGGTGCTTAGGAGGACCACGGGTGGAAGCGCTCTGTGGACACAGCTGCATCGCAACAGAGCGCTCCACCGGGGGCATCCCAGTGTACCCACGGGCGGCCCCGCCGTCGAGGGGGGGAAAGGCGGGGAAGAGATCGCGCTCTCGAGTGGACAAAGGAGCCCCCCAAGAGCGCGATAACTCCGCATGCAGCTCGGGGAAAAAAGGTATTGGAGTCGGCCGTGGCTTTGCAGCGGCAGCCTTGTCCAAAAACCAATTATCCATCCGTGAGAGGTCGGGGCAGGATGGAGGTTTCCATTCTAGCCCGATACTCCCAGCGGCTCGAGACAGCATGGCCGTCATCTCGGGATCTGACGCGGACAACGCTGGGACTCCCGAAGGAGGCAACGCAGCCGGATCTTCCTCTCCCGAGGAATCAAGCCCGCCTAGTGATGCTGTGATAGACATCGCATCATCATCTGGGGCGCTGCTCGAAGCAGCCGGTGAGCCGAAGAGACAACCGACCGAGTCGAACTAGCGCCCGCTGGCTCACGCACTGAGGCGGGAGGTGTGGCCCGAGGAATCGTCGGGGCTTTATCCACACCGTCACCGTTAGATCGCCCGGTCCCCGGGTCGACGGGCCCCCTTTCGTGAAGGAAGCCGATCGAGTAGGGGGGACCGGGGCTCTCACTCTAGTGAGATCATTGAGCCGCGACCTCAGTGTGGAGATGGTCATGGTCCCACAGAAGGAAACATGAGTCATCCACGAACGCTGCTGCTGCATGCTGAATGCCCAAGCAAACAAAGCAGCGTTCGTGACCATCAGATGACGATAGAAATCTACCACATCCAGAAGGGCACGGGCGAGCCATCTTTAAAAAGACGTGCCGCGTGCAGCTCTTTTACAGAGAGGAGAGAAATTCACTCTTTCAGCGCTGAGGCTACCAGAGAAGCGCAAAGTCTGGCAAACCACTGCACAGATCGCAGGCAATGCAGAATCTCGCTGGGTACCGCCGTCACACCAACACTGAAGAGGACGCTCGTCTCGAAGAGTCTTGAATCAGCTTTGAGGAGTGAAGAGGTTCTCTTGGCTCCGAAGCGAAAACATACTGCGGTTGCGTTCACTTCCTCCTTTTATACTCACGGAGTAGGCGGAGTCGCTATGCAAATTTCCGCAGCCCAAGGCATTGCATGCCATTGGCTCGTGTTTAAATACTCGAAGAGGATTGGCTTTCTATGCGAAATCCCCAATCTCCGTCACTTCTGACGTAACTCGAAGTGACTACGAAAGGAACAGT